TCAGCACTTTAAATATGACAATTCCAACATCTTCCATTTCTCATGAAAGGGCAACTGATAATGGCATCATTGTTCTCCCTGGATATAATGCTGTTTTCTCTGGATGGCTTTCAAAATTCTCTCTTTATCTTTGGCATTCAGAAGTTTATGATGTGGTTAGGACTAGTTTGCTTAGTGTTCTATACTGCCTGAGGTTTTTTAAGCTTCCTAGATCTGTAAGTTAGTATTTTTCATAGAACTTGTGATTTGGGGGGAAAGATTTTTTTCTCCATATACCTTTTTTCTGCTCCTTTTCCTTTCTCCCTTCTTCTATGACTTCAGGTATACGTATGTTGGGTTCTTTGATTTTTGTCCATTAGATCTCTAAAACTGTTCATTTTTACTTATCATTATGTTTCTCTTTGTTCTTTGAATTGGGTAATTTCTGTTTTCAAATTCCCAGATTTTTTTCTTATCATTTATCTTTATTGTGCTAGTGAGCCTATTGAACATATTTTTTGGTTATTTTACTTTATCTAGAAAAAATATTCTTAAATATTAAACCTAACCACTTCCTTTGGCTGATTTGCATTCTCCTTGGGCCATACACTTAGAGTGGGGATTTATGATTAGTATGGAGCAGGAGACAAAGAAGATGTGGGTGGGGAGACTGGAAGGCTGTACGGTGTGTTTTGAAAGAAGATATCCCGTCCCAGCTTTATCAGATGTCTCTCTCTATAACATCAAATGCACACATATCCAAATAGGGTGTACAAGCACAAGCTGAAGCCTTCAGTATACACTTTTAAAATTTTATTTTTCAATTATAGTCTATATTCAATATTATTTTGTATTAGTTTCAGGTATACAGCTATTATACATTTTTTGGTATCTGTATCTCCTGAGACATTAAGCATATTCTCTGTTGTGTTCTGATTGTATCTCTATTTGCATATATGCTACTGGACCGAAAATTATTTGAAGGTTGAGAAATCTCAACAGCCTAGGATAGTGCTTAAACACAATTGGCACTTTTAATATAAATGGAGAGAATGTTATTACATAATTTAAGTAGCACCTCTTCCATTGAAAAATATTTATTTTTTCAACAATTTTAGAAAACTCTGTGTAGGTGTTTGTTGAATTATGTAGAGGGTTTAGGTCTGGTTTATATTTTTTAAATAAAAATTTTACCATGCTGGATATAAGAACTATGTACTTGAGTTTCTCAATTATTAAGTGAACTTAATAAAAGTACTTCCTTCATCAGCATATACAAATACATTATCATTTCAACAGCTAACACTATTGAGTTTTTATTAATAATAATCACAGTCAGACTTACAAGAGGTAAAAGAGAATAACACTTTATTATATTTTTATGGTATATATCATAACCTATAAGATCTTGGATTCTTTGGGATGCCAGATTAAAACTTTATAAAAAGTAGAAATTTTAATAAGTTTATAACAGCAAGTAATCATTAATTCAAGAATTAATTTCTTTTTGAATTTGACCAGAAGATAGACCTAACTTCATATATTACTAATTATTATAACAGAATACACTACTTGGATTTAGCTAAGGCACTAAGGTACAATAGTGTAAAATTAAAAAATGAGACATTTCATGTTCAGGACCCAGGTAGACGCTCTAAAACCCACAAGAAGGATTTTTATGGGTTAAGGAAGAACATTTTGTCTGGTTTCCTTCAGAAAGTTATGCTGTGGGTTCCGCCCACCCCACGGGACGTGTGGGGGGTGCATGCTCTTTCACTTGCTATCTAGTGAGAGGAGCTTTAATGGAATCACTTAGAGATTTAGAGAATTCTCCTTATTTAGGGGGCACAGAGGATGGAGGTCTTAATCCCTGAGAAATACAACAAGGAGAGAACTACCTGGCAACCTGCTCGGAAGAGCTTTCCAGGAGGCGGAGTGTTGGTGTTTGCCTACACTCCAGCTTTCGTCAGGGTGAGGGACACGTGAGTGTTTCCGACAGATCAGAGGCAGGACAAGTGAGGAGATGGACAGGATGGAACTGTTGGATTCTTTCCCAAATAAACTGCCTAGAAGGGCAGTAAGGCTCCAACAGACAGTCTTGGAACTAGAGCTAGAAGGAACTCTGAGGTGAGACTGAAGAACCCACAAAGTGCATCTGAGAAAAAAGTCAGCTTTAAACACAATCAGACAGGCCTTTTGGCAGGACCATTTAAGTTAGACTCTCCTTGCCTTCCTTCTTCCAGTGTGCCTCCCTCCTGTGCCCCCTTTGGAGAATGACAGCTGGCGAGGGGAGAAGAAGGCATAGGAAAGAGACCAAGCTGATCTTACTCTCTTCCCAGAAGGGGTTGGGGAAAAAAGATTTGATTACCAAGTGAAGATTGGTTTGTGAACTAAAGTGACCCTAGGTCTTTCTGTTATTTAATATTGGCTGGAAGACTTGTTGGAGTGGTCCTCCAACGGCAGGGGAGTATTATCCCCTGTATAAATTTTAAGAGGATAACTGAGACAAAAAATGAAGTTGTATTTGATTATATCCCGCACGTAGTGGTGGATTATATCCACCACTATATCCAGTGGACATAAAAATCTGTAAAAATGTTCATATTTGGTACAGCAGATCAAAATTTACAGTAATGCATAAAGAATTGCTTTCATTCTTGAAAATGCCTAGACTTATATGAGCATTACATGCAATATAAGTTCCTGGATTTCTTAATGTGGTCTCTTGTTTAGTGTTGGCATTTCTGTTCATTGTAAAAGTGCCTTTATCCAAAAACAGATGTTGTGACGTTATTCTTCTAGTCTGCCTCGTTTGTTTCATAAATGTGACAGGTGACTCAACTTTTTTGAATGAGATTCAATTATAATAAATTGGGGGGTATTTTTACATAAGATAGTACACTAAAAATTCTTTTTAAAAAGTTTTTATTGATTGACTTGAGAGAGAGAGGAAGGGGAGGGGAGAGAGAGAGAAAAAACATTGATTTGTTATTCTACTTTATTTATGTATATTTTGATTGATTCTTATATGTGCCCTGACTGGGGGTCAAATCTGGAACCTTGGCGTTTTGGGACAATGCTCTAACCAACTGAGCTACCTGAATGGGGCCTAAAAGATTCTTTTTCTCCTTAAACAGATCCATACTGAACAGCTCTGCACATTTGAGACTGGGGCTCTTCTATGTCATCTGGCCAATCCCCTCTCTCTGCTGTTCACCTCTGAAGCCCGCCAAGCCCCAACCACCAACACCTAAGTCAGGATTGCACTGTTTGTACAGTCTCTTCATTGCATTTTATTTTAAGATCACAGCCTCCCTTCTTTCTGGTGAGGGAAGAAAGGAAATGGAAATACAGCTGATTAAAATACACAGAATTTTAAAAATAACTTAAAATGTAAGAAGATAAAGAAATAAATGAAATTGTTATTCTGGTAAAGCTTCACTTGGACCCTGTTATTAAGAGATGGCCATTTGCATAGAGGCTGCACTTCCTCTGCTGAGGAAATCTAATAGCACACTATTGCACTCGCAGAGCTTGATGGAGATCTGTTTCATTTTATAAGACAGACAATTTATTGTTAAAATTCTAAATTATTAAGTGCTGCTGTGCTAGACAATGATGTATAGATACATTTTCTCTAATCCTTAGTAATTCTGGAAATGTTTGTATGTTTGATTCTCTTTTGAGATAAGAAAACAGACTCAGGATATATTGTAGTTACAGAGTTGTGGGATTTGGACCCAGATCCATGTCCCCTTAATCCCCATTAGTTTATTATACTTGTAAAGAAGAATTATAGACTTGACATTTTATGAGCTCACTCACTCATTTCTTTGGCACAAAATTATGATAATTTGTACTCAGTATTTCTCTCTTTTGGTTTTCTTTTGTTTTGCTTTTCATAGAATCAGGACAGGAAATTATGACTTCTGATTCTTAATTTTTTTTATTGTGGAAGATAACATACTTTCAGAAAGAAGATAAAGTATATGTATGGTTTTATTAATAATGTGAATGTCGATTAACTATTTATCTAGGTCAGCAAATACTCTACCTGTGTATGATTTGATTCCCTTAGCAAAAGAACTAAGTCTGGACTCAAGCAGATGTTCATATTTTTAAAAATTTTATTTATTTCTTTTTAGAGAGAGGGGAAAGGAGGGAGAAAGAAAGGGAAAGAAACATCAGTTGGTTGCTTCATGCCCCCAATTGGGGACCTGGCCCACAACCCAGGCATGTACCCTGACTGGGAACTGAACTAGTGACCTTTCAGTTTGCAGGCTGGTGCTCCATCAACTGAGCTACACCAGCCAGAGCTAACTGTTCATTTCTTTCTTTTGTTAGATTTTATTTATTTATTTTTAGAGAGAGGGGAAGGGTAGGAGAAAATAGAAAGAGAGAAATGACAGTGTGTGGTTGCCTCTCATACACCCTACACTGAAGACCTGGCCCGCAACCCAGGCATGGGCCCCCCAGCAACCCTTTGGTTCGAGGGCCAGCACTCAATCCATTGAGCCACACCAGCCAGGGTCAAATGTTCATTTCTTAACTACTGGATCCAAATGGTTATAATTCTGTTTTTTCTACCCAGTGGTTAGAAGAATAGTGGTACCCACTATTCTTACTTCAGTGGTCATAATTTCTTTGCAGTTTGACGACTTACAGTATTTTTTCCAATTAATTTTTTTTTCATAGAGAAGTTGCTTAAAACCATAGAAATCAGGGTAGAGATTAATAGTGTTTGAGTCCTAGAAGAATGTCTGACTTATTTAAGGATGCAGACTTCCCCAGAATTAGATTCAACACAAATAATTGCTATGCTAATTACAATTAGTATTGGCTAACTCTTTGAGCTACGATTCATATTTGTTAGTAGTTTACTCCAACTTTCCCCCATTCACTTGTCTGGGTAATACCTTTTTTGCATTAATATTTTCCTAAATATGTATTATAGCTTGTGGAATAAGTGCAAATATAATTTACCATGTTGTAATGTCCCCCTTTTTTTTCTCTCTTTACAGCTTGGGTAAGTTCTCTCTCCATGGGGATGATTTTCTTCTGCTGCCCAATAGTCAGTGTGGTCACGGACATGTTTGGCTGTCGGAAAACGGCCGTTGTGGGCGCTGCCGTTGGATTCACTGGGCTCCTGTCCAGTTCTTTCGTAAGGTAAGGCCTGGGTTTCTTTATGCTGCTTTTCAAAAAATGTTAGATTCTTTAAAAGTTTCCTTTCAGAAACTTGGCTGTTTACAAGAAAACACCCTCCTTTCATTGCTTAAACTATAAGCAACAAAACTTAAACATTGTTATCCATAGCAGCAAATCAGAGCTTGAGAAATTGAATGTTTTTGCTTGTAGCACTTAAGAGTTAGATGTCAATCAGGATATATATGCTCCCTGGAGCAAGAAAACTGTTTCTCCTTTTGTTCCTTTCTAATCACATAAAAACCCTAAAAGAAGGCATAACTGTGAGGAACATTAGGTTAAGGTCAGCCTAGTCTGAGGCCCAGCACTTACAATAAGTTGTATGTTGGAGCAGCTGTTCATAGGCTGGTCACGAAATAGTTTTATTAATGAAATCAAAACTTTGCTATTTATTTAAAGCCAGGTAGAGAATTCCTGTGTGCATTTAAAAAAAAAAACCCCAAAAAACAACAACCCAAACGCTAAATTTAAAAAGACTATGGCAAAATGAAGTGGTCAAATGCAGTTTAAAATAAAAACTGTCAATACACGTTCCCTGCGTCTGCTAAAGATGTAGTGCGCTGATGAGGAACTAACTGCAAGGAGCTGATGGGCCTAGTCCTGTGTGAAGCCCTTCTCTGCAGTCCCAAGTTCTGCTAGTAAATCCCTTTGCATTAGCAGGATAATCCTTAGAGAAACACTGGCTTAATATGTTGCTCTGGCTAACAGGAGGTGATTAATAACAAAACCTCTTAAAATGATATCCATCTCGTATCTACTTGAGGTGGTGTATCTTAATTTCCTGCCTCTTTCTCTTCCCTAGCAGTTTTCATGCACTAGTTGAAAAACGTCATTGAGGTTATTAGAAAAACATACACACATTTCTTGCCTTGGTTATTTTTAAATATTCTGGATTTAATCAACAGAATCCTTGGTTTAACTAAGTTTATCCCCACCCCACCTACCCCCTTCCTCAACTCTAAAATGAGCCTCCCTTTTTTGCCTAACTTAGAAATTTTATTTGGATTCTAAACAATGATTTATATATCTTGATAGAAAATATATATTCCATCTTTAAAGTGCCTTTAGAGATTTTTCCTTCTAAAGTTGTCTTTTAAAAAAACAAAAACCAGTTTTGTTTGAAATAAGATTCTGTTGGTTAATTCTGTGAGGTCATTTACTTTTAGTTCTTTTTTTTTAGCAGTAATACAACCTTGTGTTATTAATGATTTGTCAGATACCTGTTTGGATCTGGAAGCGTGCAGGTACCCATTGTCAGTACCTGGGGCCCCAGCACTTACTGAGTGTGTTAACAGCCAGGCTTTGCTGGAGAGAGGACTCAGAGTAGAAAACCCATGTAATTCATTACCTCGCTTGGTAGACAAAATACAGGCCGACTTAACAGCAAGCAGTGTTTTTCAAACCTTTTTGATAACTGAGGAGTAAAAAGTAGGAAATATGTTTTACGTTGTGACTCAGTTCTCTGTGTGTTCTCTCCCTTAATCGAAACACAATGTGCTGAAACCGCATTTACCTTAATACATATAACGCTCTCATATTTTCTGTTTAGTTTCACCATTTAACCCACTGATCAAAAGCTATCAACTTTTAGAGTGATATATAGGAGGAAAGGGAAAAGTGGTATGAATTCTAAGTGTTGAACAATGGATCCATTTTTTCTCAAGTTCAAGTCCTGCCTTCTTAGGAAAGCCTTCTCCCACGATCCCCGGTCACGTCAGTGTCCCTGCTCCGAACCCCTTTTACACATGTGACTGGTACCTTGCTAATTCACACTGCACTCACTCACTCAGTTGTCAGACTCCCGCAACCCGAGCCATTTGTCACTGAGGTGCAGGTGTAGAGATAAGAGAAGAAAGGCTCAGCGGTGGTGAACATGCCATCCCAGAGTTTACGTGCTTGACTCTGTGGGAGAGAATAAAGCTAATCTCGCCCAGCACGCAGTGCTTAACGTGGTGTGCAAAACGTGCTGTGTTCAGTGTACATCCTCGGCTCCCTGGGCTTTCCCCGGACGGCGTCACAGTGCTGCAGCGAGACCGTACCGACGTGATAGTCATGATGATACTCTGCTGTCCATACTGTTTTTGATACACGCTTCGAAGAAGGCAGAGAAGTGTGTAATAGATTCAGGTTTTTCCTTTAAAATTAGAGAAAAATAAAATTATAAGTAAAAATACTAAAAAATCAGTGTCTTAAGAAGTAAGTTGCAATTATCTGGAAAACTACTTACATGGAAAAACGGATGCAGAATAAACACATTGTTATTTATATATTGTCCTGTATTATGTAGGGTAGATGTCTTGTTTTACTAACCAAACTATGAGTAGGACATAACCACATTTTAAATGTTTTTTTTTTCACCAAGTTCCTGGATCGCAGTAGCTGCTGAATGCATGTCTGTTGAATAAAGAGTGGAGATTCAGTAATGAGTGATCAGTGTGATGTAAAGTCAATCTGGGAGTGACTATTGAAAGATGGTGCTAGCTGTGGATAATGGAGGGGGAAGGGCATCTGAAAGAACTGCAAACACACATTAATGTTTATCAGATTCTAGAGTTCCTTGTGATTACCTCCACTAGTAGTATTGTCCAAAATTTAATTGTTAACCAACTTTATCGTAGTTTCTAATAAATAGTTGCCTTTACTACTTGATGAATAGCCTTTTCAATTGGACGTTTAAAAAACAACTTTAGTTGTATTTTACTCCATATCTTGTTTCAAAGAATGTAATGATATAATTCTTTATTTTCAGAAGAGATGTGTAATTAAGTTACTTGATTAAACTATGACATTCTTAATCCTTTATTATTGTTTTGAGATGTACGTGGACTTGAAACTTACAAACTGGGATCACTAATGAACATACTTCGTTTAGTCTGCCTGCAACCAGAATGTGATTTCTTGTTGTCTTGCACAACACTGAGAACAGTGCAGTACAGGGCAAAGGTTGGTCTGCAGCCCTTCGGCCAGCAAAAATGAGACACAGCTGCTCTTCTGTGCAAATGTTTCTGACATAACCTCGGGGAAGAAATATAAAATGCAGCCTTTTCTTTGAATAGATTGCTGTAAAGTGCCTGGGAAAACTCCATCAAAACTCCTCATAATTTAACTATGAAACTCATAGTTAAATTACAATTCTTTAAACTTTTATTGAGACTTATTTGTTTGTTTGTTAGTTTAATCACTATCAGTGTCACGGAGGCCCTCCCTGGCCCTGTCCTCTGTGAGCTGCGGACAGCACCGCAGCTTTTGCCCGGTGCTGCCCAGGTCACCAGAAATCCATGGGAAGAGGAGGAGGGACAAAATCACCTTAACGGTCATTTTTCATGTGCTTGAGACATTTGCATTACCCATTCAGATTAAATTAAAATGTTTTTAGTGCTACATTCTTGGTTTATTAAGCTTTTTGAGTGTGTTTAGTTAAATTTTATTTGTAGAAAATACACTGATTAACTAGAACCCACTTTTATGCTAAGGTTTTATTCTACCCAGCACATGATAAAAATAATGAAAGCTGCTTTCCGTCTTTTTCATCTTTACACAGTTCCATCGAACCTCTGTACCTTACCTATGGAATCATATTTGCCTGTGGCTGCGCCTTTGCATACCAGCCTTCATTGGTCATTTTGGGACACTATTTCAAGAAGCGCCTTGGACTGGTGAATGGCATTGTCACTGCTGGCAGCAGTATCTTCACAATTCTGCTGCCTTTGCTTTTAAGGGTTCTGATCAACAATGTGGGCCTCTTTAATACACTGAGGGTCCTCTGCATCTTCATGTTTGTTCTCTTTCTGGCTGGCTTTACTTACCGACCTCTTACTTCCAGTGTCAGAGAGAAAGAGAGTGGAATCAAAGGAGGCAAAAGATTCTCCCTCTTTTCCAGGAGAAAGTTCAGTCCTCCAAAAAAAATTTTCAATTTTGCCATGTTCAAGGTGACAGCTTATACAGTGTGGGCAGTTGGAATACCACTTGCACTTTTTGGATACTTTGTGCCTTATGTTCACTTGGTGAGTATGCTTCCTTGGCTTTGCTGGTAACGGATGTTATTTCACACAGGGAAACTTCGAAGAGCAAGATAGACCAGGTTGAAGTTGGCCTTAAATGTTATGCTGATTGCAATTCAGGGACTTCTGAAGTTCAAGGCCTTTTAAGACAAGGTCAAAAAATCCATCAGATTATTAAACAGAGGAAATGTTTAATGGCATGCTTTGGTATTTTAAAAATCACCAAACCTAAACAAACAAGAACAACTTTAAAAAATGGAATAAATGGCATCAGTCTGCCATTTATTTGATAGGTCATTGTTGTTTCCAGTGACTTTCAAATCATAATCAGGGACAAAGATGGTACCACATCAAAATACTCTTTTTCAGTAAAAGGGTGCAGAAATTAGGTGAATATGGCCTTGACACAAAGAAGCATTACATTCACTTGTTGGGACCCTTCTAGGAAAATGGGAATTCTATTCAGGGGATTGATTATTTGAGAAATGTTAGCAAGTTTCCAGTGAGGGGAGAGGGAACAGTTTCATAGGAAATTAGGTTTCAAGTGCTCAGGCAATTTATATTGTTTATCTTGATTTGAAAGGCGAATTCAGCCTCTTTAGACTGAACCAAGAAGAAGCAGTGTCTAAAATACTTGCTCCTGGAAGAATTTGCTCAAAAGAGCCTATTATGTTTTTTTCCTTTTTTCTTACTGTTGTGGTTGAAAATGGGTTGACTGTTCAACATAGTTGATAAACAAAAATGATGTTAGGATAAAGTTTTCTTTTGTATGTATACTGTGTGTGTGAACCCGATCTTTTCTAGATTTTACTCTATTTTTGGATGTTCATGCAATTTTCCTCTAGTTAAAAGTTTTGTAGCCCTGGCTGGCGTAGCTCAGTGGATTTGCCGGTTTGATTCCCAATGTTGCAGGCCAGGTCCCCCCACCTGGGGGCACATGAGAGGCAACCACACATTGATGTTTCTCTCTCTCCCTTTCCCTCTCTCTAAAAATAAATAAATTTTTAAAAATTTTGTGAAGTTTGTAACAGTTCAAAAAGTTACTGGTCTCAAGGGGTCCGCTGATAAACTACGTCTTCAACACCGTGGGTCCCTGTGCCCAGTTCAGAAAGGAATCAGGTGAAGGAAGCATAATGAGAGGTGGCAGGCATGTCCTGGATCCAAGAATACTTTTATTTCTCAGTTTTCCTTATTCTCTTTTTGCCAGAGGTGTTAGGGAAGCACCTGGGATAACCAGTGGGGAGACAAACAAGAAGGACGAGTGTTTAGTACTCTGAGCCACTCAGCATTTTGCAGAGACTGAGGTGCCAGGTAAAGTGACCTGGTATGTAACCCCTGTCATGTATGCAGTATGTGGCTACAGCTTGATCTAATGATCCATTTCACACTTTTTAGGGAGGCATGTCTAAACCATTGATTCATTGTGGAAGGATCAGCTTTACCAACTACCTCTCCCATAGCTTCTGTAGTTAAGATAATATTTGTTATGCCATTTTCAAAGATGAGTAGATTTTTTTAAAAAGTTCTCTGGTCCTACAAGGTGAACATACTCAGAGAAATCAGTCTCTCAGCTTTGCTAATACCAAACATTTACCACAGTACAAGTAGTAGGTGATTGTCTAGTTATTTCTAGTAATATATTTATACTTTGTAAATTAACTTAACGTATATTATTTCATTTGACCTTCACAATAAATCTGTGAAATAGGCAAAATGAGTAATGTTAGCCCTATGTTTTACAGACCAGAAAACAGACCCATCATCACCAAAGATGTTAAGTGACTCCCCAAGAATCACTGAACAGCAGAGCAGGGGTTGGTGCCCTGCCACTGTGTTTCCCTGGTGGCAGATCTAGTGTAGCCTCACTTCACAGGGTATTGGGCCGCTTCCCTGGGTATCTCACCAGATGTGCCCATCTTCCTGGGGGGAAGGGATGAGTGTGCATGCGAAAATATAATATGTATGTTACGGTCTTCTTCTTAACGTAAAGCAGATTTCCTAGTGAATGATGAGTGAGACAGTGCTGTAGATACTATCATCATCAGGAGGCTATAAATCAGAACATAAGGTCTCTGTTAACTCTGATAGCAAACTGGCCTTTTTCATGCTTTTCCTCCTTTAGGCACGTTTTCTTACAAATGGTGTTGGTATTTGGGATTTTCTCTTTGTCAAACCGTTACAGCACTGAAAGCCTTGTTGGAGAGAAAACTCCAGACAGTTAAATGCCATGTAAGGTGTTTAAATCTTGTATGATGGGTGCACTGAGTTTGTCACTGTTTTGTAATTTAAAGTTTGTATTAAGGACACTTAATCTAGACTTCATGAAATGGGACACCACCTTCCTCCTTGGAGAGGTAAAAGGTATTTCAAATCTTTCCAAAGACTAGTCGATGGTGTTCAATTCATATTAAGCCTTTTTTTTGGGGGGGCGGATATTGAAGGACATAGACATGTGAGGCATAAGAACCTGTCCTGAAGAAACATAAAATCTAGTGATGTAATTTAAAAAATTATAGTTTATTAAGGGTTTTTATATACATTATGTTATTTGGTCTTCAAAACAATACACTAGCTGTGAGGTATCATCCTCATTTCACAAGTGAGAAGACTGAGGCACTGAGAGGTTTAAAACCTTGCCCAGGATCCACAGAGGTCGTGACTGATAAGCAGCACTTCTATGCAAGAGGTAGTATTGTATAGTGGGTGAAGGCAAAGGCTGTGGAGTAAGATATGTCTGGGTTTGAATCCTTGTTTTGTCCCTTATTAATTGGACAATCTTGGGTAACCTTTCTAAGCATTAGTTTCTTCATCTATAACAGTGATAAGCCCAATTTTGCAAAGTTGTTGTAAGGATTACAGAAAATTTATGTAAAGCATCTACCCAGTTCTGGTATAAAAATGAGAGTTAAAAGGCAGTGTGATTGCCAATTGAGTAGTTTCAAGGGGCAGGGAACTATAAGAGTCAAAGGAGATAACCTTTGATAATCATGTGGAAAAGTGGTTAGTAAACACTGCACAGGTTGGAATTGGGCCTTGAGCATGAGGTTTGGTGTTAAAACCAGATCACTAATCAATGAGGGGACTAATTTAGGTTTTTCTGAAAGATTCAGAATAAAGTACTCTCATGGTTATGTTAAGAATTCTGGCATCTGTTTATTAGACTATACATGATCATTTGAGAGGGACTATGTATGCTTTATGGCAATCTTGCTCTCAAAGCAAGGTTGAAGGTTTCATCATATAGTAGTTCACTTTTAAAGATGAAGAATCAGCTCTGGCTGGTGTGGCTCAGTTGGTTGAGCATCATCCAGTGAACTGAGAGGTTGCTGATTTGACTGCTGGTCAGCAGACGTGCATGGGTTGCCGGTTAGATCCGAGGCCGGGGCATGAACGAGAGGCAACCGATCGATGTTTCTCTCTCACATTGATGTTTCTCTTTCTCTCTTTCTCCCTCCCTTCCTCTCTTTCTAAAATTAGGGGCAGGGGGAAGAAGAATCATATTGCTCCTTGGGAGCTGTCAAATTATCTTTTAGGCCTACCCATTTATAAGCTCCATTGTAAGATCAATTTAGGCAAGACCTAACTTTGTAAATAACCATTTCTAGTAGCAGCTGCTTCAATTTTTATGAGGTGCTCCTTTTGCCTGAGTTTTGTTCTGTTTTCTGGGTTGCATTTTTATGGCTTGTCCTCATCCAGTCTTTCTTCATTAGCTTCTCTTAGTTTTCCTCCTCCCTCTCCATCACTCCTTCTCAGTTTCTTGGCTGGCTCCTTTTTTCACCATGACCCTTATCCCTTGATCTTTTTATTCCACTGGCAGTTTCATATAAGCAATTAATTTTCTCGCCATTTTATTCTTTAAAATTCTTTGCTTTGATACCATAATGCTTTTTCACACTTTGTACCTAGAGGGACATTATGATATTTGTAGTCATTATACACTTAACAAATACAGTGGTACCTCAGTACTCATCTTTAATTCGTTCCAGAACTCGTGATGAGTTGCCAAAACCAAAGAGTACCAAACGATGAAGCGTTTTCTCTTGCGGGACAATGTTGTGACTCATAAAAGTTCTAGCAAAGGCGACAAGTTCCAAGCAAGCACCAAGCACTGCAACATTTTTTTCTTGTCAAAATGCGACGAATACAGGGTTTGACGAGTTCTGAAACCAGTGAGCACCAAGGTGTGACTGTAAGCTCAAACTCAGCAAACCTCAGAACAATTGAATAGCTTAATGCCACCTGTTGATGGAGGAAAGCCTTGATGTGTTTTGCTTTGAACCAAGGCTTTACATGCATATGTTGAAATTATAACCTGATAAATAGAAGAAATTTCTGTGTCTCTGTCATAAATTGCAAGTATATGGAAGGAGGGAAAAGGAACTCCTGGTGGCCATCCTCATCAACGGGGAAAGGTAGACAACTGGCGTCTGCCCTGCTGTGTGTAGCACCTGAGAGTCTCGAAGAGCCTTGGGTGCTCTTTTCTCAGGGGTTTCTCAGGCTCATCCTCAATGCGAGGCTGATAGTTTAGTTTTAATTGCTTCACGTGTCTCCACCACTACTCACCTTTGAAACGGCTGTTTATTACATGTATTATTCTTTGACTCAGTAACACATGAGAGTTGGGTAGCTTTAGTTTTTAAGTTTTAAACCCATGTAGTTCCCTGTCAAAGAGAATGACTGACTCGTGTGTTGAAATCTGTGGTATGGATAGATTAGCCTGTTTTCAAAAAATTTCTGGTAAGATTTGCATCGGTTTTATGGCAGATAGTAACTGATTGTTCTCAAGAGAACCTTGACCTGATTGAAGGATCTCTTTGGCTGATGTTGTGATTAAAGATGGAGTCACGTGCCTGCTGACAAGTTAAGTGGACAACTTGTAATTGGGGAAAAAACAAGTTGTATTTTTAAATTAGAAATGGAAATTTGAGACATACGAGCCAATAAGTCGGGCATGTAGCACCTCAAGAGATATTCTATAGCTTTGATTAATGCCAAATGCTCTC